TATTGAAATGGTTAAAATCAATGTTCCACAAAGCACGATAGGAAGACATTTGTATATTACACCTTCAACAATGCATAAAATAACTAAAAGATTCAAGGAATCTGGAAGAATTTCAGTGCGTTAAGGCCAAGGGCACAAGCCTAAGCTGAACAAACATGATCTTTAAACCATCAGGTGGCACTGTATAATATCACCACATGAGCAAAGGGCTTCTTTGGCAAACCTGTCAAAATGTAGTGACATCCACATGTCAGTGAAAACTGTACTGTGCCAAAAGGTAGCCCTATATTAACAGTGTACAGAAGCATTGTTGACTACTCTGTTCTCTGAGGCATCTGGGATGGACCATCACACAATGGAAACATGAACTCTGGTCAGATGAATCAGTATTTCAGGTATTTTTGGGAGAAATGGACGCCGTGTGTTCCGGACCAAATAAGAAAAGGATATTCCAAACTGAAACCAGCAACAAGCCAAAAAGCCTGGGTCTGTCATAGTATAGGGATTCTGTCAGTGCCCCTGGCAAAGGTAACTTGCATTTTTGTAATGGGACCATTAATGCTAAAAAGTACATGGAGATTTTGGAGCACAATATGCTGCCTTCTCTACCAGGGTCCCTCTGGAACCACATTCTGCACACATTACAAAGTCCTGGCTGTGGAGGAAGAGGATACAGGTACTTTACTGGTCTGTCTGCAGGCCTGACCTGTCTCCAATAGAGAATGTGTGGTGCATTTTGAAGCACAAAATGTGACAGTGAAGACCACATACTGGTACCCACCTTAAGACTTGTTTGGAGAAAGAATGGGACAAAATTACGTCTTAAACACTTCATCTATTGGTGTCTTCAGTCTCTAAATGTCTTATGAGCATTGTGAAAAGAAATGGCAACATTACAAAGTGTTAAACGCTTTACTGTTTTAATTTATTTTACAAAAATGTGTTACAAGAACCAAAACTGGAGTACGTGTTTATTTTAAAAAAACAAAACAAAAACAAAACAATAAAAATCACAAGGAACACATTAAATAGGGTTTGTTGTATTGAATTTAATGTCAAAAATAAATTTATAAATCTCTTTTTTTTTTTTTACATGTTCCATACTGAAATAGGAGCCATTCATTGGATAATTACCAAATGAATGATCATTATTCAGCTGATAACAAGTTACATTATTCAGCTGGAAATTGATGGAAAGAGTAGCTTACCAATTCATAAACAAACATGTCAGAAAACACTTCCTGTGGTTGTGGAAAAGATGGTAATCTGTTTCAGTGGGGTCAAATTATTGACATGCATTAAGCAAAATTCCATCTAAGGAGATTGCTGTAACTACTAAAATTGGGTTTGATGAAGAAATGTGGTTGAAACTAATCTTGGCATCTGCTGATATCAAACCAAAGAATAAACCAGAGTAGAACTCAGGGCTATGTTTAATAGTGAAAGTACAAGCTTTTCTACATGCACAATGTGAAGGGAACTCAAGGGATTGGCACAAAACAGCTGTGTAGCCTTCAGAAAACCACTTATCTGTGAGGCTAACCGGGAAAAAGCCTTCAAATTGCTAGGGAGCATAAAGATTGGACTCTGGAGCAATGGTAGAAGGTCATATGGTGTGATGAGTCCAGATTTGTCCTGTTTGAAAGTGATAGATGCATCATGGTAAGAAGAGAAGCGGATGATGCGATGCTCCTATCACCTAGTGTTTAGAAGATGCAAGCGATGTAATCTGGGGATGCTGCATTTCGTCAGCTCTAGGTTCAGCAATGTTATGCGCCTAATGAGGTCAGCTGACCGCCTGGATAAACTGAATGACCAGAACATTTCATCAATATAATTTGTCTACCCTGATAGCATGGGCATATTCCAAGATGATGATGCCAGAATCAGGCTCAAAATGTGAAAGTGCATCAGGGAGCATGAGGAATCATTTTCACAAATGGATTGGCCACCACATCTCCTACCTACTTAATTCAAATTTCCAAAAAAAAAAATTCCAAAAGCATACCGAAACAACGTCACGGCAAATGCATGCACTGCCAAAACTAAAATCAGTCCAATAACATATTAGAGTGTGAGACATTTTGTTTTGGACATGCTGTGTAGTTTACAGAAAGATTATAATGGTAATATTTACTGAAAGCTACATTATAAATCTAAATGTTTTCAAATGTTAGCATTTTCAGAACCTCAAATCTGTTTTTTGACTAAATAAATGGCCAAAAATAATAAAAAAGGATTCAGGGTTTTGTTGCTGTTGTTGAAAATGGTGTAGATAAACTATCTTAAACTTACTGTTGTCACCAGAGGAGAAACTTTAAGGCCTCTCTGCAGTTTACCACCAGATTTATCACAAAAATTATTCTGCCATACCTAATTTATATAAAGCTACTTTATTACTATGTTAGAACTCTTTTTCTCTTGGCTCAAAATGTGGCAATACTATCCAATTGATCAATTTACATGTCTGTTTAGTGACACTGGCAAGCTTTTCTTACATCTAAGATCATCTTTCATAAGTTACAGTGTTTACTCCGATTCTGTCAAATCAGCTCAGTTCATTTTGGCCTAAATAGTAAACTATTCAGCCACTGTGAGATAGCCAGCTCTCAGCTCATCCATTTTTATTTAGAAAATGCTCACAGGCTGGTACTTTAGGTAAACATGGTCAATCACTTTTAAATCCCTCCATAAGGAACCTGCAATCAAGAAAGACTCAATAGAGCCTCTCAAATAGGAGTCAGGCTCTGAACTTCCTTTAACTACTAATGAAACAGATATACTTGTGTGAGCGACAGAAAGCAAAAACTATGAATAGTGCAAACACAAAAGAGCTTCTACGCAACTAGCTGACTCGTACTGTTATTTTCTCTGCACTTTTTTTAGCTTGTGGATTCAATTCTGTCAGGAAAACAAGATTGCGACATGAGTAAGACAGGCAGAACAACAAAGCAAGGACGATAAAAAAGGAGGGGAAAAAACGATGCACTTCCCACAGCAGTCTAACATGAACACTCAAAAAAAGAAAGAAAAAACAAACATAGAATGAATCTGCCCACACAAATAGTCAAAGAGAGAGAGAGAAAGTGAGCGAGCAAAGAGGAGAGGAAAGTAAGAGTGAGGTGGCTGCCTGTCAGTGCTCTTCAGCAAACTGTACAAGCTTCAATTGTTATGTAACCTATGATTTAACTCTCAAATCTAGAACTAAAATTAGAGATGATAATAGATTCCATCACAGGCAAATCTCAGCATGTGTTTATCTGGATGTTACATTTGATCAAACACCAATACATCAAATTCTGTTCACAATGCCTGAGCTCTAGCTCCACAAGTCTTTTGGGAGTAAATTATCCAATTTCCTGAAATTACATTTCTAACAAACAATGAATGAAAGCAAACATGTTTTTTTTTTAAGTCTCGCTCAGGAGCATTTGATGAGAGCAAATGAAAAAAGTTTAGTCTCTGTGCTTGTGCCCAGGTTGGGGTTGAGTCCAAAAGCTAGTGCCCAGTACAGTGTAATCAAGTGGGCAAAATAAATAAAAGATTGATTTTAGCCCTGCTAAAGCCAGTAACTCTGACTGGGATGGCGGCCAAAGATTTTTCTGCAGGCCTGTGACACTGGTAACGGACTTTATAGGATGAGAGGAGGGAGGGGGAAAGCAAATGAGGCTGTTTGGTGCAAAAACACTGTAAAAATTGAAAAGATACTTGAGGCAGTTGGAGGCTTTTGGGAACAGTGATTCTCAACCAGGAGTGTGTGTACCCAAGGAAGTACGTTAAGATTTTGATAGCTGCAACAGATTAATAATTAAATAAATAAATACCTGTTTAATTCATAATTATAACAGGACAAAAGTAGGGCTATTAAAGCATCTGCACACACTAAATGCATTGCTCAATGTCATTTATCACAAACCTACATTTGTACATTGTTATTTTTTTTGTTTTGTTTTTGGTATTTTTGTTGGTGTACATTTGCTGTTTAAAACACTGTTTATTTGTAAATAAATTGATCTGCATTGCTTTACATATCTATCTATCTATCTATCTATCTATCTATCTATCTATCTATCCCATTTTTAAAAAGAAAATTATCTATTTCTGAGTGAATATAGGTAATATATATTGGTGCATTTGAAGAAAACAGATTTATTAAACATATATATATATATATTAATTAAAACAATATTTTAGTCACCAAACATATTTAAAAAATGAAGGATATACAATTAAATGCATGCAAAAATATTGCGAAAAAATACAAATAAACAACAACAGTTCAAATAAAATTCTATATATTTTTTGTTTGTCTTGATTTTGCTATTTTTTAAAATTTTTATTTAATATTTTTCCCTAATATATAAATTTGGCTACTTGTGTTTGGGCCATTTTTGTAAGTTATTTTGTTAGATAAGCTCCAGATTCGGCTTCAGTACTGACTAAACCAATGCATGTGCACAAATATAATATTGTAAAGCATCATATAGAAAATATTAATTTAAATTGTGAGGATGTATTGCTGAGCACTATATCTGTCCAACTATAATTGTTCAGTTTTTTTCTTTCTTGATTTTTTTTCTTCATTTTTTTTTTTTATAAAGAAACAATATAGTTTTTTAGTTTGGTTTACTCAAATATGACATTTCTTCATTTCAATGACAACTAAATCTTTTATATTAATTCAGTTCTACCATAATTAGTTTCATTGTTTTGGAAATCATGGAGAAATTGACTGGTTTGGACTGAAAATAAATATATAATGTGCACCTAAACCTTTCATTCATAATGGTTTTACTAGCAGAAACATTTACAGTCTCAGCAGTAACTGAAATCAGAGAACTGTTCTTGTGGGCTCACAGTGTTTTGGCAGTCTGGTGTCTCCAAATGGTGCCCATTCATTTTTACAGTGCATAATTTCAGATTTAACAGTTCCACATAACAGGCTGAGAAAGATTTAAATACCGTGCCAAAAGCACACAGACGGATCACATGCACATCACCTTGACTGCCTCTCCATGAGTGACTCGATCAAACACCACGTTGTTGACTTTCATGATCTGGTCTCCAACTCTCAGCCCCTCTCTCTCAGCGGACGACCCTGGCTCCACTAAGGACACATAGATGCCAACTCCATGTTCCGACCCACCCCGAATGCTGAATCCCAGGCCTTCGTGACTCTTGCTTCGTTTCAGGGTCACCTGGCGGATTTCGCTCGGCGCTTCCAGCATGAGTGCGGGCGCTGTCCCTTCAGCAGAGGTGCTGAAAACAGAAGCCGGGCGCAGAGAGCCGTGGCTGGGACCGGCCTGATCAGACTGAGGCGCAAAGTGCACCGAGGAAGCTCCTGCGTGCGCGTTCGTGCTGCTGAGGTCTTCCGAGCACTCATGTTTGACACTAGCCGCCAGCAAATCCGTTTTCAGATAAAGCCCTTCTGATGTGTACTGGTCGAACAGCAGCTGGTCCGAGCGGGGAATGACCAGGCGCAGCATGGGTAACAGTTGGCGCTTGTGGGGGGTGTTGAGAATGACTTTGAGAGTCTGCACGAGATCGAAGACATTGCGCTTGGCGTGGTAAACGTTAAGACAGTGGATAAACTGCTCCCTCTCGAAGTCGTTGAGCAGCACGTTGAGCGCGTTGTGCAACTTCTTGACGTTAACGGAGAGTGTGCGGCCACCGGAGCCCAGCGAGTTCGCGCCCGACTTGAGGGAAGCGCGCTCCAGATCCGTGCTCATTCTCAGACACCTGGAAACCACAGGGGGATTTCACATCAGGCATTAGGAACGGAGCACGGTCACTTTCTCTTTCTAAAAACAGAAATGCATCGCGATTCGTGCGTTAAACCCGTGGTGAGTCCAGCCATGCCGAGTCAAGGCTTCGTTTGCGAGCGAGTGAGCGCGCGCTCAAGATAACAGCACGAGAAACTAATTAGTGCAGTACAGTTCCCAAAATTTTCGTTTTTAATAAAATTTGTTTTGTAATCACTTTGAATGCCACTTATAGTGGGGAAAAGTCAACAGTTCTTTCCAGAGGCAAACAACAAACCCGAATTAAGTCCCGCGAGGATTTGACGTCCTTAATAGTGACTTTAATCCTTTGGGTAACACGATGCACGCTGAGAACCGGGTGGTGAAAGGCGTCCTTCGCGGAGAAAAAAGCTAAACAAAAGGTTTGAAGTTTGGCAGAGGCGCTAGGAGAAGGTGCGCGCGTGGTCAGTGCGTCTCGCTCGGATTTCTTGTCGCTACTACTGAGTCCGTAGTGAGATACCAACACAGGCGCTTTGGAGGAAATGACGCACGCGCGAGGCGCCTCTGTTGCTTAGGAACAAACAACTGTGAGGAACGCATTTGGACGAACTAAAACCACATCCTTCCTGCGCTTGAGCTATTTTTAATGTTCAAGGCCCGCCGGGCCATTGACGTTAATCAATAGAAAAATAAGCCGTTTGCAAAGAACATTGCGCATTTGGGGGCATAACGTAAAAATTTGTAACGGTGTTTCTAATTGGAAAACACTGTGGACGGCTCAGCCACTTAACCTCAACTTTTTTTATACAGCAAGAGCTAAAAATAAAACCAGAAAGGAATTCAAAAATTTATTTAAAAATTGCAAATTAGCCAACAGTATGAATGTTGATTTGAGTTGTAATGAATCATTTACTTTTTACATAAGTTGCTGCTCAAAAATAAAAACACCTGGCCTTGCAGCAAGATGAATCTGGACACATGTGGACACAAATGTTAGATATTTAGGCATAAGTCTGCACCGAAAAGGATAGTTCACTCTTTCCTCTCAATAAATAACAGCAGCAAGAATAGCCGTTAAGAAAGCATCTGATTATATCTGATTAGCAATATAAAATAGCAAACATCACGTGGATCATCTGAGACTACAAACTATATAGACCACTTTATTAGGTACACCTTACTAGTACCTTCACAACTGCCTTAATCCTTTGTGGTGTAGATTCAATAGGATGCTTGATAAATTCCTCAGCTATTTTGGTCCAGCTTGACATGATAGCATCATGCAGTTGCTGCAGATTTGTCGGCTGCACATGCACGATGTGAATCTCCCATTCCACCACATCCCAAAGGTGCTTTATTGGATTGAGTCTGGTGACTGTGGAGGCCATTTGAGTAGTGAACTTTTTGTCATGTTCAAGAAACCAGTCTGAAATGATTCATGCTTTATGACATGGTGCGTTATCTTGCTGGAAGTAGCCATCAGAACATGGGTACACTACAGGCATGGACATGGTCAGCAATAATACTCAGGTAGGCTGTGGTGTTGCCTTTTTATCAGCTAGCGTCTGGGCATTCTCCTCTGACCACTGGCATCAACAAGGCATTAGAACTACCTCTCACTGGATATTTTCTCTTTTTTGGACAATTTCTCTGTAAATCCTAGAGATGGTTGTGCATGAAAATCCCAGTAGATGAGCAGTTTCTGAAATACTCAGACAAGCTCGTCCACCATGCCACATTCAAAGTCACTTAAATCACCTTTCCTCCCCATTCTGATGCTCGGTTTGAACTGCAGCAGATCATCTTGACCATGTCTACATGCCTAAATGCATTGAGTTGCTGCCATGTGATTGGCAGATTAGACATTTGTGTTAATGAGCAGTTGGACAGGTGTACCTAATAAAGTGGCCAGAGAGTGTAGATCTAGCCATATTACACTACACTTTGAATTAAACTTTGACATAATTTGGACTTTTTATGTGTCACGCATAATATCCCAAGGTCCTCACATTAAAAAAGTCTATACAGGCTTTCATAGGCAACATTGGAAGTCAGTGACAAAATAACAAATGCACAACAAAAAAACAAAAAAAAATTCACACAGCTTCTTGAATCCTGAAAGTTGCTAAGTTGTGTTTCTAAGGGCAGCGCGGTGGAACATCCAATTTAGAGATTCAAAAAATTTTACCTCCCAATGCTGAAACTGACCAATCAGAACGAAGCGTTCCAGAGCACAGTTAAAAGGAGGAAAAACACTCAACAGTAGTGACCCAAATAATTTTTTAGTCACGACTAATGCAAAACAAACTTGATTCCGATTGACAATTTCATTCCTTTACATCAGTGCAGATGAAATGTATGAAGCTTGAACATTTCAATCTCTCCGCTGACGTCTTAAGTTATGAAGCGGAAGCTGTTTTGAACAGATTTGTAAAATGAGGGCAGTGTTTGGTCGCAGGCATGTGTGTGTGTGTGCTTCATTTAGGAGTGCTCCATTTATACCTGTAGCTCTCTAATCCTGTATGTCTGGACAAAGAGAGAGATATCACATCAAATAAACTCTCCCCAAATCTGGTTGGTGTCGTTAGAATTCAATTGTGTGCATCCAATAATGCATCAGTTGAGAAAAGCAGCACAATCCACACTCTGCTTTCGTCGTATTCCATGAATTGTTTTGTATAAACAATAACAATTGTCCTCATATTATACTGATTCAGCCAATGTGTGATGTGCTAAAAAGCCAGCCAGCAAGGCTTTAGCTGCACTGTTGTGCTCGGCTAAAACACACGTGTCATCCTCTAAGCTCATAAAGAGGAATTAGAAAGGCCTGTCAGCCGACGTCCACTACTGACCATAGTCTTTCTGAGAGCTATTAATAAACTCATATGGACAGGCTGTTGCTGTATTTAACCTCATCCTTTTCAAGTGTATTTGCTTTGACCCAATCCAGTTTGATGTAGTGCTCTTTACTTGCTTTAGACAGCCACAAAGGGGCATAGCTGAATAGATTACTGCAAAATAGAATGAAGCTATTTTAACAAATACAACAGAAGTAATAACTCTAATGAAACAAAATGCAGGATAATAAATGTGGATAAAACACAATAAAAAAAATAAATTACACTGGCATCAATAGTTGATTTAAAAAGGGTTGGTATGAATATAAAACTAAATTTATCTATTGACTTTTCATTGTCCTTCTTGGTCTCCAACACATCGATTTAAGATGGTGACATTGCAGCAAAAGAGTCAAAATCATTGCTAATTTGCAATTAGCGCTCTTGGCATCAGAGCATGGTGGCTAAAATTAATGATCAATTAATGGGCCTAAATGAGACAATAGAGATGCTCATTGATCTTTATGCATTGCAGAAGAGAGCGGACTATGCTTCAGCTGTAAGTCACACATAATTACAGACTCCCTTAACAAATATACACTCAGCAGTGCTCCAAAAATGTCTGCCAGAAATTCAATTAGGCGTTGGAATACCACATATATTTTCCTGCCTTTTTTTTCCTACTGACATCACGTCTGAGTGTTTTGGAAATTGATGGTTTGAGCTTGATTTAGAGGGTTATGGTTATATTCATTTATTCACTCATTCTTTTTCCAAATCCATAACATTTCTTTTGTCTTCAGAAAACAAAATAAAATATTTTTAATGAAATCTGAGAGATTTCTGTCTTTCCTTTGAAAGTCTATTCACCCAAAATGTTTGTATTGAGACAGAAATCTTCTACTCAGATTTTAGAATTAAGCTTTGAATGTTTGCATCATATTTCAAGTCATTACTAGGCCCATACGGAATCTGCATGCTCATAAATCCACAGATTACCGCAAATGTTTAGCCCATTGTTGAGCCTATTTATTTACTTAATTAAATAATTAATTTATAATTAATTATTTTCAGTAATATTATTGACTAATATGAAAATGTTCATATGATTTATTCACAATACAGTTTGTAAAGTAATATTTTCTGTATTTTAGTAGATATATTAAATGAGAGACTTGCTTTGTTTACCAAATATGTGTATCTAATTGGATTTGCATTGTAAATAATAAATAAAAGTTAAAAAAGATATTATTTTATATAAATTTTTTGTTACGATAATCCCAAAATCATTCAATAAATCTGCAGTATTTTATTACAAATTCTGCACAAAAATAACAAAATATGTCAAATTCTGTCTGGCCCTAGTCATTACCCTCAAATTTATCTAATTTATTTATTTATTTATTTATTTATTTATTTTTTTGAATATAGGCTGTAATTGTGTACAAGTTTCTGGCCAGAATGTGCATACCTCACTTTACCTGGCAATCCAGAGAGCAAATAGAGGTTTTTCACTACAGTGAAAATATAATTTTTCAAAGAAGAAATGTCTGAAGCAAAATTATGTTTCTGCAATTAGTTATGTTTTTGTTATCAGAAAGAGGCATTTTAGAACTGTTTCAGAATGAACACAATATTGTGTTTTAAAAACGGTTTATATTGAGGACAATCTGCCGAAACAACTCTATTACAGTGCAGTTTAGTGTATATCTAAACCCAGCCTCCACATCACAGATCAGAGCCTGCTTGATGCTGCATTTTAAGCTCCACCCACCTATTCAAGCATGCAGCAGAAAAAATAGAGAGGTAAACACAGATCTGTGGAAAAATCAGAGGATAAACATGGCTTCAAAGACAACAAGACATTGTGCAGTGCCAAACTGTCTACACTATATCTTTGCATTTATGGCATAGATGGATGAACATTATTTAAAATGAAGTTCCAGGCCATGTCAGTTAAAGCTTCATTCACTTTATTTACAAAAATGCACACTGTGATGCTGGACATTAAGAAAGCTAAAAAAAAAAAAAAAAATATATATATATATATATATATATATATATATATATATATATATATATATATATATATATATATATATATATATATATATATATATATATATATATATGCTGTGTCAATTATATTGAAACTGACTATATTGTCTGACTATTTTTTATTCATTCATTCATTCATTTTCTTTTTGGCTTAGTCCCTTTATTAATCAGGGGTCGCCACAGTGGAATGAACCGCCAACTTATCCAGCATGTTTTGTGCAGCGTATGCACTTTCAGCTGTAACCCATCCATCACTGGGAAACACCCATACATTGTCATTCACACACTTACACTACGGATAATTTAGCATACCCAATTTACCCATAGGGCAACGCAGTGGCGCAGTAGGTAGTGCTGTCGCCTCACAGCAAGAAGGTCGCTGGGTCGCTGGTTCGATCCTTGGCTCAGTTGGCAATTCTGTGTGGAGTTTGCATGTTCTTCCTGCGTTCGCGTGGATTTCCTCCGGGTGCTCCGGTTTCCCCCACAGTCCAAAGACATGCGGTACAGGTGAATTGGGTAGGCTAAATTGCCCGTAGTGTATGAGTGTGTGTGCATGTGTGTGTGTGGATGTTTCCCAGAGATGGGTTGGGGCTGGAAGGGCATTCGCTGCGTAAATATGTGCTGGATAAGTTGGCGGTTCATTCCGCTGTGGCAACCCCTTATTAATAAAGGGACTAAGCCGTTTTTACCCATAGCACATGTCTTAGGACTGTGGGGGAAACCAGTGCACCTGGAGGAAACCCAGATGAACACGAGGAGAACATGTAAACTCCACACAGAAAAG